TGGAGCAGGATCGGGGCCTGGAGGAGGCGGCTGACCCCCATTAGGTCTCCCTCTGGGGGAGGGGGGCAAGGACTGGGGCCCTGGAGGAGGATGGGGGCATCCCTTATAGGAGCTTCTCACGGGGGAGCCCCCCCAACCCCCTGCGCCGGTGACAGGCAACAGCAGCCAGGCCCCGATGCCTTCATGGTCTCCAGAGCTGGCTGGGGAGGTCTAGGATTTGCAAGCGGTGGGGGGCAGATATCACCTACAACACAACACATAGCTCTTGTTTTTTCCCATTTAAAGTAAGATTTGCTTCCATACTGGGAGGCGGGTGCCGTGTTATTCAGTTTAAGACTAAGCAAAACATAATTGTTGGGACGTGCTGATACAAAGCACGGAAAAACGCCACGCACTGCAGCGCAGGCAACAGTTGTCTCATTAGTCCAGTTGTCGTTAAAAAAACATCTCTTATTCAGGTTCATAAAACCAAATCTTCAGCCTCGTGACCGTGCCTTGCTATGCTTCGCTTTCGGTCATTTCTACACCTGCGTTCGTATGACTGCCTCAGGGTTTAGCTAGAGCTGCAAATGGTTAATGGTTTTTAGCTAGAGCTGCAAATGGCCTGTGACGCAAAAGAGAGGCATTACTAGGAAGAGTGGACAGACAGCAGAACTGCAGAAAAATGGAGACTTTGAATAGTGAAATAACAAGATTATTAAGGAGAAGGAGTTGTTAACATGTGTGGAGTGGAGTGGAGAGAGATTAGCAGGAATCAGGGAGATAACAATGAACCATGACTCTCTCGGCTCTGCCTGAATAGAAATGTTGCTGCCCCCTCCATGCAGTTGGCTTTAAAGCCTGGGCAGGGGAGGAATCGGGAGACTGCACCCTCCCGGATCCACCTCTGCTGTCAGGAGTCGCAGATGAGCTCTGTGCTGTGCCTGCCACCCGCACTAGCAGCTCCTTGGCACTGGCACAGTAGCAGCGTGCACATGCAGTGCCTGGCGCAAGCGGCTGCGACTCCCGCTTGGGGAATGACAGCAAACTCCTCAATACTTGTAGCAGTGGATGCCAAGGGGGGCAGCCTCTGGCCAGCTTCACCTGCTTGGGTGCTGAAAGAGTCCCCTGATCCTCTTTGCCCCTTGGATGAGAAAGGTATTGAGTCCTGCCCCAGCCAAGTAACATGCCCTTTAATAGAGCCATCTGCCTTGTGCTTTTTGACAGTTGGACCTAGCTGAGCCATGGGCTGAAAGAGTGATTGATTTTTGCTCTTTCACTGTTGTAGTCACTGGTTGTGCTAAATAAGGGCAGCATTTCTGCAGGCCCCAGCCTGCTCCCCGTTCTCACCCTCAGCAATAGCATCTCTTTCCAAGATGGTTCTCCTAGCAGGCAGCTGGGAGGCCACATTAAAAGACTCACTGAGCTCTCTGCACCTTCAGAAGTCCTCAAGTAAGCCCACAACGACATGCTGGGCTCAGGGCACTGCCACAGGCATAACGCTTTGCTCTGTGCCTCTCTCCCAAGCAGTGCACAGAAATGCATGAAGTGCAAGGAGGGCACCCCGGTGCTGGTCATCCGTGTCGGAGATGCCTTCTGCAAGTAAGTGTGGCCAGGGGCAAGGACAGGGTTCCCCTTGCTGACGGCTTTACTCATCTCCATAAGCCGGCAGGACTCCAGGCCATGCACAGCCAGAACTGCAGCAGGGATGAGTTGAGTTTGAGAAGCAAGCGCACAGCAGGTTGAACACGTTCAGGAAAGAGGGGCATTACCCTGTAAGTCCCAGACTTTGAGATCCCTTTCTATTCCTGCAGACACTCAATGATGAGAGACCCTGTGTTTTGTGGAGAAATAGGGAACATGGGCATAGAGTAGGAGGGGCATTCTGGTTCTGGTCTTCTTGGCTTTTCTCACTTGGGGATAAAGCCCAGTCCTCCGAGATGATAAGTTCTTGGCCAGTGGAGTAGGGAGCAGGGAAACCGAGTCACGACTGGTGACTTGTCCTTTCCTGGGGTCGCCTTTATTAGCATGGGGTATGATCTCTGGTCCCTGCGTCTCAGTGAAACAGCCCCTCATCATCCATCTCCTCTACCTGCTGATCACTGCGATGCAGACTGAACTGCTTCCAGGATCAGTGTGTCTGGGAAGAGGGAGGTAGTGACACCCCCCCAGCACAGCAAGGAGGGGTGTGCAGGGCTCCCCGGCAGAGCAAGTCTGCCAGCTGGTGTGTCAATACTCACCGGTGTTCCCATGGCTGCAGGGCCTGCTTCCGAGAGTACTTCGTGCACAAGTTCCGGGCGATGCTGGGGAAGAACCGAGTCATCTTCCCAGGAGAGAAGGTAGTGGTGTTTCCAGTGGTGGGGTGAGGGCACAGTGGGGTGCTGCTGCTGGCTACTGACGGCTCTATCTCCCTCTCCCTCTCAGGTTCTCCTGGCGCTGTCTGGCGGACCTAGCTCCAGCTCAATGCTCCGGCAAGTCCAAGAGGTATTGGCTGTCCAGACAGCTTGGAAACCTATTGGCTCCTGGGGAGCAGGAAAGCAGGGGATGGAGCAGCCTCCTGGGACTGAGGTGGATGGCAGGAAGCTGCCAGACCTGCAGAGAGGAGCCCTGCTGGGGGGATAGGAATGATCCAGGAAGTCCAGGCAGTCAGCCTGATCCAGGGCGGCTTTGGCATGTCCAGCCCTCATCTCTGCTGCTGGGGGGTGGCTGTGGCTTCTGCCCCATTTACTGCAACACTCATTTCCAGGTCCAAACTCCAGACCAGGGGGCAAATGTGGGCTCGGGGCACCTCCAATCTCTAACCTGTGGCAGCCACTAGTAACCTGCTCACTCTTGGTGCTACCTCCTCCTCTGCCATCGCCAGGAGACCCATCAGCCAGAGCAACCTCGTACAGCCCTTGGGGGAGGACTGACCTGTCCCATTTCTCTCCCCAGGGCTTGAGTCGGGAGACAGCGAAGAGGCTGCGCTTTGTGCCTGGTGTCATCTATGTGGACGGTAACCCAGCACTTCCCCAGCCAGCTCCCCCTGCACATGCATGTGGCACTGGAGTGGGCAGAGTCCTGGCATTGGCCACCCCCAATCCATTCCCAGCTTCCAGCGCTCTTCTGGGTGCCCAGCCTGGCCTCCCTTCCTTTGAGGGCTTCTGCTTCTCTGTGGGGAGCAGCCTTCTTTCTGTCAGGGGCCCAGTGGGGCAGCTCGGGGCTGGGGGTCTGAAACCTGGCCAGTAGCAGTTGGCCCCCAAATCCCCACTTCAGCTGTATGCATGGCATCATTTAAGCCAAAACCCATGGTTAATGTGAGGAAGGCTTTGCAGGGCACCCCATGAAAGAAGTGCAAGGTCAGGCTGAGAGAGCCCAGGGGATGGGTAGTGCTAGAGCTATGGCTCCATGGTCCTCTCCTTTGCTGCACAGAGGGAGCCGTGTGCAGGCAGAGCCCAGGAGAGAGAGAGGACACCCTAACTCAGATGCAGGCCCTCCTGCAGGCCTCGGGTTTCCCCCACCACCTGATCCACCTGGAGGAGGTAGGTGGAAGGATAGGGAGGCAATGAGTGTGGGGGTGATGGGACCTGGCCTCCCTAGCGACAGGGTCTCATGGGAAGCACCAGGGGCTGGCACACATGGGACTGAAGAGCCTGTGCTCCAGGCAGAGTCTATGTCATTGGCTAAGAACCACCTACCTGGCCCTATCCTCCCAGGTGTGCTGAGCCCTGTGCCCAGAGCAGCCACCAAAGCCCCAGGGACGAGGGGCATCATTCATATCCCACAGGCCTCTGCAGGCTGCGATGGCAGGAGCCCTGTCGCAGTGTCCAGGGTGCTGGAGTCCTGATCTCAGCCGCACTGCGCTCCTCCGTCAGGGTCTCCAGGCTCCAAGGGTGGGTTAGTGTCTCCTGTGGCTTCCTCCCCGCAGGCGTTTGAACTGCCCAGCTCCATCCTGCAACGTGCCCCCCACACGCCCAGCCCACCTGAGAGCAGCTACAAGGCGGCAGTGGAAGGCTTCATCCATCAGCAGCGGCGGGGGGCGGCAGGCACGGGGGACACCGTGGCACCTGAGGGGCAGGTCCAGGAGCGGCTGGCAGTGCTTGGCATGCAAGAGGGTGCTGCAGCCTCCCCAGGGGGCCTCTTGCCAGACAGTGCCCTCACAGAGGAGCTGAGGCGGCTCTTCCAGGCCGTGACAACGCTGACAGCCAAGGAAGAGCTTCTGCAGATGCTGCGGTGTGTGGGAGCCTGGCGGTGCCCGAGGGGGAAGGACCAGACTGCTCCCTTCAAGAGGGGCATTGGGAAAACCCCAGCCCTGGGGGTCTTGTTGGCCCCTGGCTGGGTGTGCCTGTTGGAAGCCCCCCCACTCATGCCCTTCCTCCTCCAGGACCCACCTGATCCTGCACACAGCCCGGATGCAGGGATACTCCAAGGTGATGATGGGTGACAGCTGCACCCGTGTGGCTGTCAAGCTGCTGACCAACCTCTCCCTGGGCCGTGGCGCCTTCCTGGCCCTTGACACGGTGAGCCCCAGTGGGGTTGCGGGTGGGGCAGGCACTGGGGGGACCCTGGTGCACCCCATCTCCCACCCCAGCCAAAGCCAGGGACCCTGTTGCTCCCCTTTCTATGTCCCCAGCCTGGCTCCGGGGCCTCCAACTCAGCCCCGTGCCAGGGCTGCCTGCAAAGTCCCCAGTTCCCTTCCCAGCCCTGGCACAACCCTCTGCATCCTGTGGCTGCCCCGTGCCTCTACTGCATCGATGCCCAGCCTGGGGGAGACGCTGGCGGTGCCAGGGTGATGGCTCAGCTCCATGCTAGTCTCTGAGCTGCCTGTCTGTGCCCCTGAGCACAGGGCAGGGGGTTTTGCTCTGGGCTGCCCATCCCCACTTGGAGTTAACCCCTCAGGGCCTACAGCTTTCCTGTCACTCCTCCCATAGCGGGCATGACAGCCCCTTACCCCTCTCTGCATGTGCAGGGTTTCATGGACGATCGCCATGGCGATGTGGTGGTGGTGCGGCCCATGCGGGAGTACACTGCCAAGGAGGTTGCCTTCTACAACCGACTCTTCGGCGTCCCCACTGTCTTCATGCCTGCCCTGGACACCAAGGTAGTGGGGCTGTGGTCCAGTGCACCTCTTTCCTGCTTGCTCTGCTGCCTCTGGCATGGAGGGTGGCATGGCTATGTCACCAGCAGCCCGGGTGTTAAAGCTGTGGGGTCATCCAGCTCGGTGCAGGGCCTGTTAGTTTTGGTCCCTGAGAGCCCAGCTGCTGTGGCAGGGGACACAAGGATGGGAGAGCCACGGACCGGCCAGGCCAGAGCTTTGGGGCTGAGACAGGCCCCAGCTCCAAAAGCTTAGTGCCTGCCCAGGGCTCAGTCCACAGCAGCCACTGCTGACTCTCCCCTCCCAGGTCCTGGAGAAGCCCAGCATCCACCGGCTGGTCGAGCGCTTCCTCTACGCGCTGCAGGCCGAGTTCCCCTCCACAGTCAGCACCGTGTACCGGTAAGACTCATCCAGCACTGCCAGCCTGGGTGCCAGGCATCAGCCCGTGAGTTTGAGGATGGGGAGAGCCAGGGGCCGTGGCTCAACAATGAGGGGCTCCAGCAGGGCTGTGGGCTGGGGGAAATCAGCGCTTGGGGGGCAGGGAGGCAAGTTAAGTTGTGTATAGTGAGCCCCCAAGATCCCCAGTGCAACCGTGCTGAGCCCCCAGGGCGGTTACTCACCTGTTTGTCCCCTCTGCCGCGTGCAGGACGGGTGAGAAGCTGAGTGCGACCCTTGCAGACACCGCAGCCAAACCCGAGCACTGCCTCCTTTGTCTCTGTGTCCTGGACACCAGTGTGGGTAGGTGCGGGGCACAGAGGGGGTCTGCAGGGCTGCCCATCCTCAAGATCTGCCATGGTCATTGGCCCATAAGGAGCAGAGTGAAAGCCTTGGGCCCCAGCTGACACAGCTCCTCTTTGCAGTGGAGGGGTCCACGCTGCAGGCTTTGCTGATCTCCGAGGAGCTGTCCCAGAAGAGACCACTGGACCTGCTGCCTGCCAGGGGCGGCTGCTGTGCCGGGGCAGGGGCACACAGGTGCTGTGGGAGCCCCCCAGCCTCTGGGTAAGGAGCAGCCGCCTTCCTGATCCTCTCCCCCACCCGCAGCTGGCTCAGCCCAGGCGCAGCTTGTGGTGCTCAGCTCTTCCCTCCTGCCTTCGCCCCGCAGGACCAAGGCCTGGGCTGAC